ATATATGTGTTTTCAAGGTAGTGACAAGAAGGGGACTATTATGAAATCAGAGCAAGTGAAAATCTGCCATTTCTCCAATGTACCGTACTAGATCTTGTCAGTCAACACATTTTGGAGACATGGTCTCTATTTTCACTTTTATTTAAACCTGTGCTTTCCAGAACAGGTCTTGCTAAACTGTGCTGAGGAAGGGAAGGAAATGAATTATCATTCTCTCACATACTGACATTTGCACTGAATAACTGAAGACTGAGTCAAAGAGTATTTCCCCAACTTCTCTTAGATCAAAGACATTCTCTTAAAAGTAGGGTATACCTGATTTTCAATGTGTGCTCCCAAAAAGTATTTTTTCAGTCCTCTTCTAATGATTTCTTACTGTTGTCAAATCTATTTCAGCTCCATAATAATTGAAGAAAAATGCACATATTTTTAAAGAAACTGTAAGAGTTTCTTTAAAAATATAACAACAAAACAAAACAAACAAACACGAAGTATTTTTTTCCAAAAGTGATTTAGAGAATAACAAGTACAAGGTCATCAAATCAACTACTTGGATTTAGGAAATTAGCTGTTCTTTGAAAACTCTATGTCCGACACTAAGATCAGCAATGTCCAATTTCTTTGGGGACGTCTAAAGTACAGAACCACTTAGATTTTTAAACTCAAAATCCCTATAAGCTTAATTTTCTATTTTAAGAATTGTTCGGTATTAATAATACTAAGAGGTTAAGCATCAACTTCACACCTACTAGTCTTTGATGTTTTCATGTGAGATGATCACTTGCCTGATTTTCTTGCAGATAGGAATTTCAAGAACACGCCACATATACTAGGCCTCACAAGTATGGAAATTACTGAACATATTGACACTCCTAGTACATTTTTTAACTGTCAGGCTAGCAGACCTTTCTCAAACAAATCCTCAGTGTCATAGTAATGAGTATGGGGCACTGGGAGTAGAGAGACCTCAGACACCTCCTTTATGTAGCAAAACAGCAAGTAGTTGCTGGCAGAAAGGCTGGACCCCAAGGCCTTAGCCTCTCAGGAAACAGTCCAAATATCTGGGCTAGAGATTTACTTTCCCTCTGGATGGCTGTTGTACTACAGATTGGGCCCAGATGTTTGCATTGTCAATAGGTGAATGACATTTTTACTTGCTTTCCTATAAAGAGAAGATGGAAAAAAGGCAAAAAAAAAATTTGGTAAATGGTAGAAAAAATGGTAAATAGTTCTGGAAATAGCACTTTGATCAACTGGATGGTGGCTGCCATAATGTATTTATGAAAAATTATTCTGCTTCTGTTCTACACAGCTGGTTATCTTCTTGGCTGGGTGGGATAGAAAGAGTTTTTCTAGATTATTTTGAAACAACAGCAGTAAACTCCAAAACCAACAACATAAATACTTTCAATTACAGACAAATTCAAATTTGGAATGACTAACATGCTTTTCCTTAATATCAGAAGAGTAAAATTCACTTGATTTTTTCATTTTGAAATTATATTTGACTTGAAGGCTGATCTAAATATGTTCAAGTATCAGAGAGAGAAAATGAAAGAAACAAACATCTCTGCTCTGAACTCAAAAAATGTAGAAATGAACTGTAATTCCCTCCTATATACACACAACCTTGCTGAACCAGAGCTACTTCGATTTCTTATAGGCCTATTGAAGAACAAACAGCAGAGATGCATACACAAAAGTGATTATTGACCTTTTTGAAGAAGGAATTACTCTGGGACTTCCCAGTACTTCCCTGACAGCTAGGGCAGGAGACCAAAGGCACTGTCACAGCCTTTTCTTAGGCTGACTACCAGAAGTAATCCAACAGGGATATTTGCATCAGGGGACATTCAACTTTTGGAGAAAATCTATGGGCACATTAGAATGCTGTGACCTGATGGAGAAAAAAAGGACTCGTCCTCTCCACTGTGCTCAGCTCAGCTGACACACTCTAGAGGACAAACCCACTGAACCTGAAAATTGAGTTAGTTTGTTTCTCAGGAATTAATGTTGTTTGGCTTTCATCCAAGTTCTATTTCACTGTTGGTTTTTGGTTTAATTTTTTTTTTTTTTTAATGTTTAATGATGATTTTTAATTGAACACAAATTTTAAAAATTGGTATTTTCCTTTATATTCTTTAATTTTAACATTTTATATTAAGCTAAGTCTATTCCCAGTTAGTAGAACATTTTTAGAAGATAATTAAAATGAAGTAATGCAATATCTGCTTCTTTCTATTTAAACTTCTTTCACAGAAACTGAGTAATGTATTATCTTAGGTTTGAATACAGTTTTATTAATCTACAGAGTTGGCAATTCTAACCAATATTTTCTCTTCATAATATTTTGACTTCAATTCCAACTATTTTGCTGTTGTTGATTTTAGTATAGATGTAGTCTATGATATTGAAATGTAGACATGACATTGAAATAGACACCTTGCACAAGGCTCATGTGAAAACACATAGCTTCTTTACCATCAGTTTTCAATAGAAAGTGACGAAAAACGTCTTTCCCTTTTAGCATTGTCTGACTGTATGGGCTTTACAGATAAAGCATTTCTGTTAGAATTTAATGCACTGATTTACCCATAAAATAGCTAAATTTGAGTCAAAAAAGATCAGTTAAAGTATTCCTGCATGGAATAGTCTCTCTCTTCTTGACCAAGCTACTGGCAGTGCAAAACTTCCTTATAACCTGTCCAGCTTTAGAGGCTGCAAAGATGGGAGAAGCAGGTGGTCCATTTGCATGTATCCACTGCTGTATCCACACAGCTATCTCTGGCTTCTCTTGCACATACTGGATTGTGGAGACTTTGAATATATGTGGCACTGCTGCCAAAAACTTACTAGCTATGAATTTACAAGAAGTCCCCTGCATGATTAATGCTGAATTTGGCAAGGCCATTTTCCAAAACTCACTTATTCTAGTACTTCTCAAATGGAAGCTGAAGACCAAGTGTAAAAAAAACATCTTGGCACAGTAGCAAGTCACTCTGGGGCATACTGTGACTCCAACAGAGTATTTCTGTCTCCCACCAGATCCTCTAAAGCCTTTTATAATTCACCTGCGTCTCTCATCTTATCTTCGGGTTTGGTAAGTCATGCTTTCTGCCTTTTCACAGCTTATTAAAGGCTGCTTTGCTGCTTCTTAGACATGGTGATACTTCAGTTATTCCCCTGAATCTTATGACTGATTGAAATCTTATGACTGATGTATAGAGATATCACCTCTTGCTCTGCTTTCCCCCAGGAAATACTCTTATGCAGACAACAGAGAAGACTGTGAAAGCCCAGTGATGCTACAATAATACACTGTTAAATTATAAAGAACATTTTGTATTATGTACTTGCTTCTATTGGTACTTAACTATCAATGAAAAAAGAGTGTTTACAAGCACTTATGGTTGATTCTTCAGTACCGGAGTAGGATGACTTATTTCAGTAAAACATTAAAGTACTCCTCACCACTAGCAATACTTATGAAATGTAGGTCTTGAAAACAAGCAATAACAATAAAAGACCCCTCCCTGTGAAAATACGCTGCAATACACTATGACACAAACTCAATGTAGTTGAATGTAAAGCAAAAACACACTTCATATCATGGTGTTTCTATAAATAACAAGAAATTGGGAACCAATTATATGTGATGTTTATTTTGTCAACTTCCACTTTCCAGAGAGAACAAGTAAGGTTTTTCTTGTAGGTAAAATCCTCTTCTATGTAAATTAATAGCTTTTAAAATATTGGCCAGAGGAAAGTTTATTTCCTGCTTCTAATAAAAAATAGTAATACGTTTCAAGCTTTGGTTTATTGACATTTTATTTCCATTGTTTGCTTAAAATAGTGTTAACTCCTTAAGTGGTATATTTTATACTAGGGGCACATGGCTGAATATTTCTTGTGACTTGTTTAACAAAATGATTGCCTCCAATCCCAAACTTTAACAGCATAAGGTATCATTTGTCAGAAGGTTTAGAAGGTATGTGCAAAGTCACGGAAAATCAAACACCTGGGTATCTGGAATTAGGCTTGAGGGAGCATTACTTGGGTGGAAAGAAGTAGGTATGTGTATATTTGCAGGTGGATAACTCAGGGTCAGGTTCTAACTATGTTTATGCTGCTATAAATCAAGAGGAGTACCTTCAGAATAAATTAAATTTTTACAAGTCAGCACAAAGCAGAATAAGCTGGTATCCTAACCTGCCCATAAATGCATGTCATTAGATACATTAAAGAAAATGTAGACAGCTGTTTACTGTATATCGTGAACTACCAGTGAGATTACCACACAGAAAGAAAGACAAGGTTCTGCATTATAAAAAAGAAGCTGCCAAATGGTGATTTAATGGATGATTAGCTTTTGCATTTGTGGTTAATATCTCTGTTGCAAATGGATACTCTATCTATAAAGAGTAAGTGAGAAAAAAGGCAAAATATAATAATACAGACTTACTTTTTGGTCTTGTTGATTGTTTAGTTTTGTTTGTTGCTTTCTTTTGTTTTTCTCAGTCTGATATAAAGACCACTGAGCAGCAGGGCCTTTTTTCCATACTCTTTGGATCAGACTCTTAAATTAACATCACTACCATATTACATGATATCTCTCCACCCAGCAATCAGCTGGAAAGTATCCAAGACAAGCCCAAATTTATACAAAAATATTTGCCAAGTGTTTCAGATTAAGTATAATAATTTTTGAAAACAATAGAACAGATTTATGTCCAGCACTTCCTTCTAAATTCATCTTTCTTTTTCCTTCCCTCTCAGTCCCCTGCACCCTCACGCTTTATGTGACAGCATTACTTTGGAGTTCTAATAAAGTAACCTGAGTCAGTGAAGCAAATACAAGCACCTTATGAGGTGTGACTAACTTTGGAGCTCAGCCTTTTTTCCTTTACTGCTGTTTATAGATGACATAGGAACATTTGCTAGAAGGCACTGCAGCTGGCCTAATGGACTTAGAGCTGGGAGTGAGCAGGTGAAGCAGAAGCATGGCATTATTTAGCTTAGTGCTGATTCCATTTGTGATCAGCTCTGATGTTGCTTCTGCTTGCCAGAATACAGATGACTTTGTGAGCGCCAGTTCTCCAGGAGACATTATTATAGGAGGTTTGTTTGCAGTTCACAGTGAAATGGTGCATCCAGAAGAGCATCCTATCAAGCCAGTAATTCAGAACTGTGCTGGGTGAGTAACAAGGCAAATTACACAAATAACTACTAAGAGATCACTGAAATCAGGCAAATACACTTAGTGTTGTGATCAACAAAATCTGTTTCTCTTGCATTTCTCATTTTTTTAGAAGACATTGGACATCAAATAAATTGCTTATAACGTAACAAAGAATGACAAGGAATCACAAAGTTGTCATAGAAAATCCTATGGCTAAGCAAGGAAGGAAATGGTTATTTGATCCTATTTCTATCTTCATACTGCATCGAATAGCCCTAAAAGTTTGTGTTGAGGAACCATTTAATTGCCATATTAATACTGTTCTGCTGCTCTATGACTGAAGTACTCTGCAGTTCATTATTTACAGTAAAGTTGCACCTAAATACTTTGAACACAGTCTGCCCAATTTTGCACATGGAAGCACACATGGAAATATGCCCCTCACACCCACGCTGTAGTCTATTGTACTACTGACTGCTTTGCAATTGTTATAATCAGTGTAGATATTATGTTTTGTACCATAACTGTGGCATGGCATAGTGTGACGGGATATACAGAACAGACACTATGTCATGTATGCTTTCATATTTATACTGCACATCAAAATATTTATTTTGTTGACTCCATATCCTACTTTTCGTAAATTCAGGAATGTGATATAATATAAATCCATACATGCATTTTCTTTCATTTTAATATAGGTACAATGCCGTAAGTTTTATTTTAATGTAGGGAATCCATATGGGATTATTTCAAAATGATGTCAAAGTTGGTCGTTTTGTCCGTATTTTATTATATTTCTTCAGTCATATATTGTATCCATTCCATTTGAAATTTATTTTGGTTTGCAAGGTATGTAAACTTTAGAGACCCGTGCTTAAGAGGAGAGTTGATTGCATTGCAGGCAGCCTGTATTACCATATTCTGATTAAGAAACCATCACATCCATTGAAGATAAGGAGAAAAGCTGTATTAACTTTGTTAGGTTTAGAGAGAATGTTAGGAGCATCTGTGCAACCACAAGAAGACATTAACTTCTGAAGTATTTTCTCCTAGTCCTTTACTTTGTTTCATGCTTTTGGTGAAAACAAATATATTGTAACAAACAAACAAACAAAACCCCAAAATTGCTGGGCTGAATTGGGCAAATTAGAACTGACTCTACCAGACACTTTCTGAAGATTTCCCTTGCAAATTTTCATGTATCACAATAATTGTAACTTTAGTGCCTGTTGTTTCAGAAAAGTATTTTTATTCAGGTATTACTGAAGTGTTGTGTTAATTATGATTATTCTACCACTTAAGTGAGAAAGAAAATAATATGATTTGCTATTATTTTAACCACATGCATCTGAATAAATGGAGGGTCAGGTTGGGTGTTACTGAAAGTTTCTTCACCAGAGGGTGGTCAGGCACTGGAGAAGCACTCCCAGACATAGGATTTGAAATTTGAGTGACCCTCTGTGGAGCTGGGAGATGGACTTAATGATGCTTGTGGGTCTCTTCCAACTTGAGATATTCTATAAATCTGATTTTATAAACAAGCAAATCACACCAAGCATTTCTTTTCAGTAGCTGGCAAAGCTAAAGGATGTGAACAGAATTTGCTTCAGTCTTATTCCAGAAATACTTTTTTTTCTAAAATGAAACTTCTGTGTTTTCTGACAGCTTTGAAATTCAAATTTTTCTTCAGACTCTTGCAATGATACATGCTATTGAAATGATCAACAATTCAACATTATTATCTGGAGTTACTCTGGGCTATGAAATCTATGATACCTGTGCAGAAGTTACAAAAGCCATGGCATCTGCTCTGAGGTTCCTGTCCAAATCCAATACTTCTAAGGATATTGTAGAGTTCAAGTGTAACTATTCAGACTATGTACCAAGAATTAAGGCAGTCACCGGAGCCAGCTACTCTGAGGTGTCAATGGCAGTTTCAAGGCTATTGGCTTTGCAACTAATCCCACAGGTAGGTTTGAGGGAATTATTTCATTTGAGACAGAGGATCAAATTTACCGTGGCTAGATGTGGCTCTAATTGGAGGGACTGCAAGTCACAGTTGCTCAAAAAAAAAACAGTTTTAGTCTTGCTGCTCTTCAAGCAGCTATAGAAGAGAAGGAATATGACTACTCCTTCCCCAAACATCCTTCTCTATTTCCAGCCTCTCTACTACTATTTCAGGCTCATACAGTCCCATGCTTGCACTTAGGCTGGTGCTTCCATTATTACTTTCACTGTTACAAGAAAAAAAAGTTGTGATCAAAACCAAAATCATCTTGTGCTCCACACTGATTTTGGTAATTTGACATACATTACCTTACAGCAAAGTAGCATAAACATGCAAAATACTTAAAATATGAACTAAATATAACTTTTAACTGAATCTTTTCCCCTGCTCTGGGAGGAAATATCTATGCTTCCAGTTCCACCATAAGAGCTATATTTGATATAGAAATTAAAAGCTGCACTTAAAATTACTCAAAAGGCAAATTATAAAACAAATTTACATTGTGATATAGAGATGGAAAAGGTGACCTTGTAGATTTTTCTCATCTGTAGTATCTGCAATCCACTGACATTAAGATTTGACATCTTCTCCAGATAGGGGGCTCTCATTTTGAAAAGCTTAGATTTGTTAAGAACTGTCAAGCAAGGTAAGAAATATTACAGTAGGAAAAACAACAAATTAGACAAAGGTTAAAAAGTAAATTCATTTAAATTACATCTTTTTCAGTTATGTTTTTTCTTGCTACATTCACTATAGAGAGGCTAAAGTTTCTACATAAGAAAAAAATATTATACTGTCCTTTAATGTTGGATACTCTTTTTTTTTTCTCTGATAGGATCTTCCAACAGACTTTACGACCCCTTTAAAGCACAGTAATTAAATTTTTGAGAGAAAATAAATAAGTGGGTGGACTATACTAACATGGTGCAAAAAAAACACATTGCAAAATGTAGGCATACTAGAAATTTTAATAACAGCTCCAACAACAGTTAAGTACTTCTAGTGTGTTAACTATTGTTCTCAATAGTGGTGATGGTATTTCTACAGGTTAAATCAAAATCCAACATAACTTTCAGATCCATTTACAATGTTTTAATCTCTGCTTTTAATAAGGCAATTAGGTGCACAAAGATGAAAATGAGGGAAAGGGTGCTGGGCACAGGCCTACGTTCCAACAGTAGGGTTAAGAATCCTGCCCTGCTTGGCTGCCTTGTGTTTGCACTCAGTCACAGCAGGGATGGAAAAGCAATAGTGGAAGTTTTGGGGCTCTCAGAATCCTTTGGAAGAGACCACTTCCATAACTGAACAGTTGTCTCTTCCTAGGTCAGTCCTGCATCATCAGCTGAAATCCTCAGTGACAAAATCCGTTTTCCTTCCTTCTTGAGGACTATCCCCAGTGATTTCCATCAGACAAGAGCAATGGCCCACCTGATCTGTGAGTCTGGGTGGAACTGGATTGGAGTAATAGCCACAGATGATGACAACGGGCGCTTTGCTCTGGAGAGCTTTGGGGTCCAGGCCATGGCAAACAGTGTTTGCATAGCTTTTAAAGAGATGCTGCCTGCCTATCTCTCTGATAACACCTTTCATACAAAAGTTGATCGTGCAATCGAGAAGATTGTCAAGGAAACCAGAGTAAATGTCATTGTAGTCTTTATGAGACAATTTCATGTGCTCAAACTATTTAAGAAGGCAATTGAGAGAAATGTAAAAAAGATTTGGATTGCAAGTGATAACTGGTCAACTGCAGTGAAAATCAGTACGATGCCCAACATCAGAAAGCTAGGAACTGTTGTGGGATTTGGATTTAAGAACAAGGACGTATCCACATTCCAAGACTTTCTGAGAAGTATTCATGAAAGGCCCACTGAAAACAACAAGTTTTTACTTGAATATATTATGCTTTTGTCAGTCTGTGCACACCTGGACAACTACGATTTTCAAATGTGTATTTCAAGCCAATCCCAGTACGACCTGATGCAAAATGTTGAGAACAGACGTCAGATCTGGAGAGATGATTTTTTGAATGCCAACATTGAGCCAGGATTTATCCATAGTACTATACTTGCAGTGTATGCCATTGCCCATGCCATAAAAGGGCAATGCAAAGACAGAAACTGCAAGGATCCCTCTGCTTTCGCCCCCTGGGAGGTATGGTGTTAATTCTTTGAGGTCCTGTTCTCTCTATATAACTTCCATCTCACTTTTCCTCTTGCATTTCTGGATTTACTTGTTTAGCCCTTTTACTAAAGGGCTTCTTATTCCTGTTTCTGCCTTTCCTTACGACTGCATGGGTCAAACGTAACCACAGCTCATCTCCCAGAGCAGCAGTTGCTAATTAGTTATGAGAACTGAAATCTAGCTTTCTTCTCTTGCTTTGTCCCATGCAGGTGCAAAAACTGCTGATGCTAAGCCATGGCTGTATTCTGCTGTAGATTGAGAAGTATTATTGCAGTTTATATACAGATAACTAGCTGATCCATGGAAATAAATAGGAGGCATTACTTTCAGAGCAAACTATGTATGTGCAGCCCAGGATAGTTCTCTTCATTTAGTATGGCCTAGGCAAGCCAAAATGTTGGACACCCATGAGCTAACCTAGCACTTCCCCCATCATCTTCAAAGAAGGCATCAGCTTGGATGAAGACTCCAGTCTCTAAGCTGCTTGCTGGAACATCTTACTAGCTACTTGAAGAGGATAGAACATAAATTTGCAATCAATCTGGTTGACATAGATGTTCTGCCACTAAATATTGGTCCTGTTTCTGCAAACCACTGTAATACTCAGCACTGTGCTCTAGAGGTAGAGATGTTACAGAAGAGGACAGTTCCCCAGAGAGTTTCAAATCTCCCCTCTATCTCTAACTGCTTTCTCCATTTTGTCTGAGCTCAGGTACATTCCTCTGTAATTTTTCTTGGAAATGAAAACGCAGCAGACCATTGTGTCTGATTGTGATTTACAGGGAAATGACTGGTAGAAAAATGTGACACAATCTTGAAGATGAGTGAGGCGCTTGTTATCAGACTTTACAAGGTGGGAAAAGAACAGGAAAAATCAGACAAGAAAACCTGACCTGACCTTTTACCCGAGAACCTGCTCAGGAGTATTCACTTTTACACACTTTTACTCAGAGGATTAAACAAAAGTTCATTTAAAAGTCAAACACCCACTGAAGCTCTCTGACTTGCTCTGACCTCTTATCCTGGGTCAGGGCAGGTCAAACCAAGATAGGGGATTTGAGAAAAACAGCAGCCACAGTAACAAACTCTTACATGAATTTGTAAAAACAGATGGGACAAATTCAGGATAGTTCTATGGGGTATGCAGCTTTTTGGGGCTGCGTTTATATCACTGCTGAATTAAATCCCAAACCACCCAAATTTAGTGTCCTGTTTAGAAGCTAAGAATTCTTGGAGAAACTCCCAGTGCTGTTTCCATAACACATTTCTTCTAAATTAACTTTAGCTCCTCCAGAAATGGGTATATTTAAAGATAAGGATACAGCAAATCCATATCACTCGTCTCAACATACAGAGAAATATCAAAGTCATTTCTATTACATATTTGCAAAAATAAATATAAATTGAATAATGATGTTACTAATTACTAGCTCCTTCTGTTTGAAGCTGAAGATGTATTCCAAAAGTTTTTGTTATTGTTATTTGTATTCTGTATTTTAGAGAAATTGGAAGAGTGAAGAAGAGGAAGATTAAACAACTAACCTGAGGACACTGAACCAAAAAGTCCCTGTCTGAGCACAAGACTGTGCGATGTCCAAATCAAATGAAATGTCACTTAGATGCATATTTTCTTTCACCATGTATTTGTAGACAGGAAGTGAGATTATAGAAATTGTGAAGAAGTGATGTTGTATATGAAAAAAACTGTTAACAAATGCCAGACTTTTTTTACACACATATATATACCAAAGCCTTTTAAATAATAGATTTGCCAGCATATTCTTTAAATGCTATAACTGTCACACAGGAATCTATGTAAGAGTGCTTTTCAAGGGACAGTCAAATTCAGCCATTCATTGAATCCTTGGTTTGGTTTTTGTTCTTAATTAACTCCTATTGCCAAAAGTTGTTAGGCTTCCAGAGCAATAAAACCTTTGCTTCAGTTTGCAGCCATGGTAGCTAATGAAAATCTGCTTGCAGTCTCCTCATGAACTGGGATTGTGTTCTGTATGCCTCAACCTGTCCTTTTCTAGATTCACAGCGAACCTTTTAAATGTTTTTTTGTTTTTTTTTTTTTAAATGTGGGAGCGAGAAATTTCACCCTACTGATCCAAATGGGTTGAAATATTAAGCTAGATAGTTGTCTTATAGAAATGCTCTTGCCATGAAATTTCCTACGAAACATCGAATATAACCTTGTTGTCTATTGCCATTGTGCCATATATCAATTTATCTGAGTAAAATGGCATTTATTGTTCATACCATAACTCAGAACCTCACCTTGCAATACACAATATCAGAGCCTCAGCTGAAAATGTTAAATGAGGTATTTCCAGCACTGGGGGAGGTTACACTGGAAGGAGATATTGCCCAGATCCACTTTGTTGACAGTATGGCAACAACAGGAGCATCAATCACAGCCATTCTTTACAGTAAGGAAAGTTCTAAGAGGCCTTTTTTTTTCTTTTTTTTTTTTTTTTCTGCAAGTAAAACATTTTCTGTCCCAAAATTTCCAAGACTGGAAGTATAAGTACTAATACACAGGTATCAGCATACATTGCATAAAGTTGAGAAATGTTTATTTGTGCAAAATAGGTTTTTAAGGTCAACAAGGATTCTCAGAATAATGTAAATCTGTGTAGGATGTAGGATTAACAGTTACACAGCTCCCTTTTAAAATGATACCACCTGTAGAAAGCAACATTTCTTTTTTTAATTTGATATTATCATACTAATGTTAAACTATTCAGTGTATCACACTGAAATGACACTGATGTATGCCATTGTTTCCTGTATTTACGTTCAGCTCCTTGAAGAACTTAAAAAAGTTACAATCATTGATGATGATAAAGAAATCAAGTTTGACTCCAAAGGTGATATGAGCTCTGGTTATGATGTACTTCTTTGGAAAGAAGTTGATGGCCACATGGAAATCACCACTATGGCAGAATATGACCCAGAAAATGGTTACTTCATCTTTGAGGATGAGGAGAAAAAAAAAGAATTTCTGGATTTAAAGGTAACTTTTATTTTGTTGACCTAACATCTGAAATTTATTTCATATGTGTCCTTCTTCCTCTGGTGCTGTGTAAAAAATCACTCATTTGCTGTCGTGATCTCCTTTCAGAATGATGCATCTTCCCTAGGGAAGATTCAACCACCTTTATGTATTTTGAGATGCACATGAGCCTGTAAGCAGTCTCAGTGATTTGAAATTAAATTATTTCTCCAGAATACTCCTAAGAGGTTTCCTATAACTTGTAAATCAGAAGTTAAATCTGTCCAAAGGATACTATTACAGAATGTGAAATTGAGTTTTAGAAAATGACTACTTATATATGTCTTCTGCCTTACACAAGGCAATCATTTATTTTTCACAAATAGATGCGTATCTACTGTCTTTACAGTTGGGGAAAAATAAGCCTTGTTGATTATTTAGTCCTGTTAGATCTGGGGTCAGCACAAACACAGGAGCATGAGGTAGGTGGCACCATCTGGAACCCCAGCACCAGTGCAGACAGAAGGAGTGGTTGACCCCAGCTAGTTCCAGCTGGATAATGTCACCTGTGTGTGGTAAAGGCTTTGGGGATTTGTGCAGCTCTGACTCAGTGTGGCTCTGTGCTAGCACACCAGAGGGAATGCTGTTTACAAGGTGGGATGAATGTAGTTTCTGTGTAGCCTTAGTCAAAAAAAGAGGCTAAGGACAGAAGACCTCTTTTTTTTGTCCCTCTTCACGGTGCTGCTCAGAATGGCAGCTTGTAAGCCCTAACCTGCAGGGAGAAGAAACAGCAGCATCCCTCAGGTCTATCCCTCCATTTACAAGGCTTATCTTGGAAGAAGCCCTGAACCCACCTCTTGAGGGAGGGCCCCGACCACACGCACCTTGAGTAGTGCCTGAGCTTCTGTGTGGATGACATGGCAGAAACATGTCCCATTTGCCAGAGAATCTGCTCTGTACTCAGAGCTGCTGAGCAGGGTGTCAGGAATGCATTTGTGTTGTGGCCCATCTGAAACCCCTCCCAAATGCTTCTGTTCTTTCTCTGCATCCCAGCGGTCTAACTTCCAGTTTCAAAGCTGAATTGGATGTGGATTTTTAAGCTACATAAAATCGCACTGATTTAGGGCCAAAAAATGAAATAGTCATGTAAATACGGCCCCATCCTGTCCCTTCCTGAGAGCATGGAGAAAATGTAAGAAATACAGAGCCTTCTTCACATTTTTTAACATCATTTTCAGATTCTCTTAAAATATGTTAGGTACAAAATCATAGTAGATTTGAAGGCTTATTTTAACAGTTTGTAGTAATCAGTAATGCCTGAACTTTTTTTTTTTTTTTTTTTCCCAATTTGTTCTCTGCACACTGCAGAAGGTTCCATCAACATGCTCCCAGCACTGCAGACCAGGACAGATGAAAAAGGTTACAGAAAGTCCACACACATGCTGCTACGAGTGCGTTTATTGCCCAGAAAACCATTACAGCAATCGAACAGGTAAAGAATTGTGATCCAAATAAAGGTTTATTTAGAGATCAATAGAATTGTTTTGTTCGTGAATAATGCACCTTGGCAACCGTGGGTGTAACTTTGGAATGAGTTTGAAACATTTGTTAATGCTTAGTTTTACAGATAAAAAAAGAGAAGAACAGTATTCAGCTTATAAAATGAGGTTTTCATGCTTTTTAGAATATAAAACTTTAAACAATTAGACTTTGTAGCTGAATATTGTTATCTACGTTTGGATGGAAAGTATGGCTGATGTTTCAGTGAGACATATTCTCATGACAATAGAGCCTTGCTTCTGTGTCTTTCTGCAACACAGAAAGCCCAATGCAGGTACAAGGGTTATTTATTTGCTTGCTGGCATACTTTTTATCTTAAGTAGGAGTATTATAATGTTTTATATGACAGAGTAGTAGTATTACTATCAAATCTGATGCTTATTCTGGTTCATTTACAGTTTGAGTAAGGTTTATAAAAGGAAGGAATTAAATACGGAGAAGAGAGATGGACTTAAGAAAATTGAGGTACAATGTACTTCTAAAGTCTTGATAGTTAGGAAAAAAAGAAATTGCATGCTATCTCTTTTATTATTAAAACAACTGTGACATTTCTCCATAGCAGATAACAGGAATTTCACAGGAAAAGTTACCTTTGAAAGTGGAATCTACATCAGTGTGTGTTCTTGCTGTTGCATTTCAAAAGATTTCTGAACAAAGAAAGATTTTTTTCTTGTTGAACTAGGTAAATGAAAGAGCTGCAGTTCCACTCTCTGTAGGGCAATTTGTTCAAACTCAGGCCACCATCGTGCTGCCAGTGAAGGTTTACCAAGCTCTGTCCCTGTGGTGTGTCCATGGCAAGGGGTACTCCACGTAGCTGCAGACCTGGCCCATGCCTCACATTTTGCCCCATATCCCTTCCCACCTTCTTGTATCACAAGGCTTTACCATTCACTTGGTAATTTATTTGCTTTGGGTTCCTGAGTTGCCTTCATTTTTTCTCTTTTCAGATATGGATTATTGCTACCGGTGCCACAACAAAACCTACTGGGCACCAGTGAACAGCACTACATGCTACAGAAAAACGATCCACTTCCTCGGCTGGACAGACTGGTTCTCTATTTTCCTGCTCCTCCTCTCCGCCTTCGGGGTTGTGCTCATTTTTTCCATCAGTGCAATATTCACTAAAAACTTGAGCACACCCGTTGTAAAGGCATCTGGGGGTTTAACTGTCTGCTATATTATCCTCCTCAGCCACTTCTTCATTTTTTTAAGCACTGTGTTCTTCATAGGTGAACCCACAGAGTTCAAATGTAGAACTCGGCAAGCCCTCTTCGGCATAAGTTTTGCACTCTGCATTTCATGTATCTTAATAAAATCACTAAAAATTTTACTAGCCTTTAGCTTTGATCCCAAGCTGCAGAATTTCTTGAAATGTGCCTATAAACCTATAACCATTGTATTCATCTGCACTGGGATTCAGGTTATCATTTGCACTTTCTGGCTAATATTTAGGACGCCTTTTGTAAAGCAAAATTTCTCTATTCCAAGAGCTATCATTCTGGAGTGCAACGAGGGCTCTGTTGTGGCTTTTGGGATTATGCTGGGTTACATAGCTGCTTTAGCCCTCATCTGCTTCATATGTGCCTTTAAAGGCAGGAAGTTACCAGAGAACTACAATGAAGCTAAGTTCATAACATTTGGCATGCTAATTTACTTTATAGCATGGATTGTTTTTATTCCTGTCTATGTAACTACGTTTGGCAAATACCTACCAGCAGTGGAGATCATTGTTATATTAATATCCAATTATGGGATTCTCTGTTGCACTTTTTTTCCTAAGTGCTATATCATAATTTACAAGCAAGAAACAAATACAAAGTCTGCCTTTCTCAAGATGATTTACACGTACTCTTCCAAAAGTGTGGGCAGCATTGCTGTCAGCCAGATTTCCTTGGACTCTAAGTCTTCCAGCTCCCGAATCACTGCGTCAGACTCATGTAATGCTGAGAAAAGCTCTGTTAATGGAAACTGCCATTTTCAAGTGTCTGGGCAGACACCAGTAAAAGAGGAAGTTGTTCCTAAAAGTGCAGCAAGGACTCTGTCCAGGAAAAGGCTGTCCAGCATATGACTGGGCATTGCTGAAGTACTAGAAGAAGAAAAGTCATTCTCCTTCAGATATCTCTTTTTGGTACACCCAAGGAAAGCAAATCAAGCAAACCATACTCCGATGGTTATTCTTTGCTAGGTTTGAAAGGCTTTCCTTGGAGCCCCAGCTATTGTGGGGACCTCCAGCAACTCCCTCCTGTCCCCATCCCCATCCCCATCCCCAATCCATTCACACAAACCATCAGAGCCAGGACCTCAATGCTCTCAGCCAAACAGAAGTGTCAGGAAGGCCATCCTTCTCACAGACAAGCAGGCAGGAATGCATGGACTCGCACACAGTTTTTTCTAATGTCTTTTCTACCCAGCTGCTTAAGGAGCTCTACTTCTCATCTGGATCTGTTTCACAGGTCAAACAGAGCCCCCTCCTAGTCTTTGTTTGCTAGGATAAACAAGCCCAGTCCTTTTGTGTCCACTTTCAAAATAGGCCTTCTATTCTCCTGAACATCCAAAAGCAACCTTTTCACCCAGTGTGGGCAAATCCTTTGTTTGTTTTAAATTCTGTGCCCAAAATTGTGTGCCTTATTCCATGTGAGTCCTGCAGCAGCACTTAAAGTTCCTTGTATTTACCATAGAGATAATGAACTGGAGAAAGGGCTGTGTAAAAACAGAAAGATTTACCTGGACCACTGCAGCTGTTTGTAGGCTCGTTTACTTTTTCCTGTACTCAGAAATACACTGATTTACCCCATGCACTTTCTCTAACTCACATGGAGAGACGACCCATTACACTTGTCCCCAAGTATCCTCTTTTTTGAAGGAAGGAAATGATCTCCTCCACAATGTGCAACATCAAAGCTTACAAGCACAAATTGTTTCCCCACATTAGCACAAATAATGCAATGATCAGAATCAGCATGAATGCACCCTGTGAATTTTAGCTTTATTGACACTTGTTCAGAAAGTCTAACTTTTACGAGAACATGGCATTACACTGCTCCAGTGCATTGAAATCACACCAGAATGAGCTGCATTGGAAGTCTCTGCTCTGCACTCCATGAATATGGCTACACAGCATCTCCTGTGTAAGAGACACGTTCCAGGAAGAAGGACGTCAGCTGGGGCAGCCACACTGCATCTCCTAGTCAAGGATGGCCAAGTCTTGTGCTGGGCAGGGCACAGCTTTCCTGTGGAGCTGTCTCACAGCTGGGATGGAGGAGAACATCTTCAGACACTGAGCAGCAGAAGGCTTGCGAAGAACATTTCTATGTGTTCATGAGGCCCCTGGCTTGGACCAGAGAAATCCCACTTTGCAACATTAACTGCGAAAAGATGCTGACCCCTTCAGTTTGGTCCATGCTTCTTTTTAGATGTGGAATGATGGGATGCTGTTACAGGCCAAAATGAAGCATGGCAGACTTGTTGTTACATGTTGTGTTATTGTTATATGCAATAGATCTATTTTTCCAGCATTTCTATTTATATGCTGCAACCTAGATCTGCACGATTTTTCTACTCAGATTTGTTTAAAATGTCTGTAGATCAAATTTCAGCAATGGACACAATTTCTGAAATTACTGTGATGCAGACTTACATAAGTCATATGTATCTGGGAAGACATTTTTTAATAACTTAATATGAATGGCAAGGGTGTAATTTATATATAGATTTGAGCAATTATGTACTTTCTGTAGCCAACTGGAAATACTGCAGGTTTATGCACACATTTGTACGATAACTGCTTGTTTGTGCTTCAGTGGTTGTGAATACTGTTCAGAATATGAATCTACTTGCAGTGAGGTTTGGCTGCTCATACAGTTTGGCTGCCAATGCAGCAAAAAGAGAAACACAAAGCTTTCATCACATGATGACTTCCAAAGAGCTAATTTGGCTAAAAGGTTGTACATGTATTTACTGTTTTCAAAAGCAGTGAGCATATCATTTCTTGAACAACGAGGTGATTAAAGTCGTGTCCTTGTTAAAAACTGAACTGGCTTGCTTCATTTCTTCATCTGCAGGTTGGTTTGGCCGCGAGAAGCAGTAGCAGAGCCCCCCATTCGCTGCTCCCCACCCGCCAGAAGCCGGGGCGCTTCCCGCAATGCCCGCCAGGTGGGCGGCCGAGTGCGGTCGTGCGGTCCCCCCTGCGGGACAGAGAGGGAAGTGCCTCCAGAGGGCGGTGGCAGCAGTACGCCTATCCGTAATGAAAGGGATCGCATAACGCTCTTCCCCTGATCGCATTCAGGGGAGAATATGAAAGAACGAATACATCCCATCCTCCTAGGAACCTCTCAACTGCATGCACACCTCTGGTCCATTTCTCCAGAGCCACCAAGTCCCCTTTGTCCATGACCTCCATGAGCTGTCTGTCTCTCCAGCAACTCACAACTTCTGTTCAAAGCATAATCAGCCAGACCCGGGAGAGGCGATGCAATAGGTTTTCTAGCAGAAAATGCTCATAAAATTAAGTAAAACAAAATAAAATAGACAAAAAGATTCCAATCTCTACTGCATGTCCTTAAACATCTGTGTAGGTGCGACTGTAGGGACAAAGGGGATGGTTCTTCTTTCCAGACCAGGGCATGCTCTGCCTTCTTCCTTTGGAAAGATCCCACCACAGACTGCCACAATACTAGTGTGTGCATGTGTCCATCTTCAAGTCTTTTTTTATCTCTGAAAGGGTCAGAAAGGACACATGATCCCCAAACATTGGTGTTCAGGGAAGTCAAGGACAGAAATGATGTTTGTTAGTGAAGTGTGAAGCTGCACTGGTCACCCTTTGGGGCTGTATGTCATTCATTGCAATAATGCTGAATAATGGATGCTGAAGCTCTCGGTCACTTCTTTTGGTGCTTTTACATCTCCCCAGAGACATCACGGAAAAGGGCAGAGCTGCTCTGTGCATGTGCAGAGGTGCATCTTCTTCCACCCTGTAATTGCTAAGAGACTTAGCACAGGGCTAAGATAAACTTGGTTTGTTTAAAGAATGTCCTATTTGCAGGAAATTTTATTCCAATATAGAATATGGAGAGTTGGCTTTCATTTACTCAACAATCTGCTGTCAGAAAGAGCTGCCTACTTCAGGATGTGCTGCTGAGAATAGGGAATAAAGTTTTGTCTACAAATGATTCACGAGTTCTGCCTCACACTCTCCCACTGAGCACAGACCTGCATGCTGCCACGTCACAGTGCAGCCCTGATGAACAGGGCCCCCTCCATTCTGCTAGCAGACTTTTGGGGTCTTTATGGCATTCACTGTGATAACAGAAAACAATAAATTCTGGGGTTCTGGCATTGGCTGGATCACAGAATCATAGAATCACAAAATGTCCTGAGTTGGAAGGAACTCATAAGGATCATAAAGTCCAACTTCTGGCTGCACACAGGACCACCCAAATATCAGACCATATGTATGAGAGTGCTGTCCAAATGCTTCTTAAATTCTGGCAGCCTTAGGGCTGTGACCACTGCCCTGGGAAGCCTGTGTCAGTGCCTGACCACCCTCTGGTGAAGAACCTTTTCTGGATAACCAACCTGACCTTGCCCTGTCATGACTGGGAGATGTAACATCACCTGCTGATGCACGCATTGGGAGTGCTCCAGCTGAGTCACTGTAGGCCACCTGCACAGCACTGCCACAGGCTGCTTGCTAAATTCATATTCTGTACCAGTTTCCAGACTTCCTTTTAATGTTTGTTTGTTGTTGTTATTTGTTTTCCCCAAAGGATATTTTGGTACTGAGCGAGCCTGGACCGCCCCGAGTGTTTCTCTCACCAGTTCCATATGACTGCTTTAAGGTGGGCGGGTGAAGTGGAGGCAGGCGGTTCCTCTCAGCCCCCCAGAGCTGAGCAGAGCTGAGCTGAGCAGAGCAGAGCAGAGCAGAGCAAGGGACCTGGCAGTGCGGGCTGCCCAGCCGTACCCATGCTGCCACTCCCGCTGCGCCTCCGCCCCGGGCGGGTGAGGGGTGCCCCGCTGCTCTGCCCAGCTGCTCCAAGAGGAGCTGCTGCCAGCGACGGGCCCGGGAGAGGCCCAGCAGTCCCCCGAGGTAAGGACAGGGCTGGGCTGGGGATTGGGGGCCTCCCGCGGTCACCTTGGGCCTCGTTATTTTGCCTTCTGGCTTAAATGCCCAAGTGTAAGGCAGAAGGTAGAAGGATGTTCAAACGAGAGCCACAAGGATGCTCCCCAAGGGAGGTAGTCCAGGGGCTGTGCAGAAGGAGAAGCACCTCCATCCCTCCATCCCTGGAGTAGCTCAAGGCCAGGTTGGATGGGGCCATGGGCAGCCTGAGCTGGTGGGGCAGCCCTGCTCTCAACAAGGGTATGAACCCGGATGGGCTTTAGGGTCCCTTCCAACACAAATATAATTCTCTGGTATGATTCTCCCACTGGCCACCAGAGCACTAAGAGGGATTTGTTCTTTCCATTCATTACTGCCACTCATCACAGCCTGACGGGGTGTTTCTTTCCAATCCTTCAGCCGAACAGGCACACAAGGTGGTTGCAAGCTACAAACCTTCAAAGTTTGACAAAAAAATCCTTCTCTGGACCGGACGCTTCAAGACGGAAGAAGAAATTCCTGCGAGGATCCCGTAAGTGCTCCAGGTCTATTACAAGGATAGCACTGGGTTGAAGGGCATGAGGCAGAGGGTGCCCAGCAGTGCTCTGCTGAGCTCGAACTGGGAAGCACTTTTGGCACTGAGAGCTTTGAAATGAACGAGGAAAAAGAAAACTCTCCTGTGTTGCTCATAGGTTAGGAAGAAAAAATGTTCCCTATTGGAGGCCCCAGATGCTGTAATTAAGAATTGGAGTCTTCTGAGCAGAGAGCCTTGGTCTCTGCATATAGTTGATATATATCCACACTGCCTTGTTTGTTTATTCCTGATGTGTAATCAGAGAAGGATGTTATCATAAACTGTGTGTTCTATTTATTGCTCCCATAAACAGCTCTAAGGGAGCTGAGAGCTGCTAAATGATCGCATCAGCCAAACTGTAATTTATTATAGCTTAAAGAAGAATGAGGAAAAAAATAGATAAAGAGATTGTGAGAAAAAATCCCCAAAGGCAAATCCAAGGACAGTTGAGTACTTGATGCAGCTTCAGCCTCTGGTTGATCCCCTGCTCACCTCAACTTGCTGTAAGTTACTCTTCCCAAGGTGTCTCCAGGACCACTTTGTGCCATTGTAGCACACAGAACATTAAGGGTGTCCCCTAGCCATTCCTTCACCTGTTTGTTCCCAGCAGTGTTGCTGCTGCATCTGGGGCTGAGCAGCAGCTTCCCAGAGAGTCCAACTGCTCTTGCTCAGTGCTTATCCCACTGCCTTTTCTTACAGGAAGGTTCAGGCAGGTCTCAGAAGCATTATTCGCACTACTGAAGGCGTTGAGAGGTGTTTGTAAAAGTACTCTGCTAATCCCTATGCACAGTAGAGCATGTGAGCAACACATTTCTAGGACTCATCACAGCATTCTAAAACAAGTTAGTTTTAAGACATTGAAGTTGAACTGTATCAGTTTTCAGTGTTAATAAAGCACTGCAAGATACTGTTTGCCACCTGTGAACAAAATGTGGCTGCTGAAGATGCATGGTATTGAGGGTCAAACCTGCAGCCCTCAGTCAAAATGTTTAAATCAATGACAGCAAACAGCTGTTACTGCCTTCGGCAGAGGCTTAGCCAGGACCTTGATGAAGGATTGAGTAACAGAGGCCCTAATGTGCAATTAGAGGAGATAATAAGTTCTGTTCTCCTTAAAGCAGAGACAGAAAGCAAGGAGAAAGTGAAAACCTGCTTCTGAAGAGTTTCAATTAGTGCACTGAGAAATATAATTAGGTTTATAAGCCAGACCAATAACACTTAGAGCTTTGCTTTTGTTCTTACAAATGGCTTCTGGATTAATGGCTTGAGGTGGCAGTCTGTTGTGCGGTTTGTTTTGATGTTGTGCTTTCACTGTAACATGAAAGAGGCTTCTTGTAACTTTTGCATTACCAGCCATTAGCCAGGAACCTGCCCTGCATCCTGGTGCATGTGCTGTAAGGACTGGGGGGAAGTACAGCAGAGCTGCCTGTAATTTGTCCTTTTTCTTTGTGTTAAACCTTCGAGAAACATGTATTTTTATATATGTGTATATATATATGCATATTAAAAACAAATTTAAGAAAATAAAAAAGGAAAATAGCACACATTCAGTACTATAATAAACATCATAGAAACAGTGCTTGCCAAGTGCCATGTCTGGCACAGGAAATGGCTTCACTGAAATTTCTGTGATGTTCGCAGTGACGAGGTTTCCTGCATTCCTGGTTCTCATAAATCCCCCTACATCACACTGTGAGCTTCAGGTGCAATTTGTAGCATGTTTACCTCAAGCATTTCAGTGCAAATGTTTTTTTTTTGGTTTTTTTTTTTTGTTTGTTTGTTTTTGTTTGTTTTGTTTTTTTCCAGATTAAAATCTTTCTCAATCCCTTAAACATCATTTTCCCACTGGAAATGTTGAGGGTGCTCCTAGGTGGTATAAACCCAATCACCACAGCAATAGATGCTTCTTTCCAGAGCCAATTTATTTTCACTCTACAGTAGTGATATTAGAACTGTGAGGTCTTGAGAGATGCTTCTGTTTTTTAATGACTCCATTCCAAAACTTTAATTGCAGGCCAGAGATGCTAGACAGGGCAAGGAACAAAGCCCGTGTTAAAGCTTGTTACATCATGATCGGCCTTTCAATTGTTGCCTGTTTTGCAGTGATTGCTTCAGCAAAAAAGGTGAGCATACTGCTGCCTAGCTTCTGTGTAGCATACCTCAAAGTGATGGAATTCTGTGAGAACTTATGGTAACGTGCTCCTATTGCTTTGAAACAAAGCATTAAGTTGGTGGTTAAGCCTGAGACCAGGCCCATTTCTCCATGCCGATGGTGACTCACAACATTACTCTCAAGGAAGGTTTTCCTTCTGCAGGCTGCAGCACGGCACGAATCCCTGACAAGCTGGAACTTGGCAAAGAAAGAGAAGTGGAGGAAAGAGGCTGCACTGGCAGCAGAGTCAAAGCCAAAGTAACTTCATGAGCTGCCCCATGTCCTTGTAGGAGCAAAGTTAACGGTCAAGAGTGGTTAGTGAATTCCACCACCAAATGGACAACTTCAGCACTGCACAAACAGGAACAAACAGCAGCGATTCTGAGATCACAGAAACTGAGGTATTTATTAAAGACAGCATACACACTTGCACCTGATTAAAATCAAGGTGTGTTGCACATCATTAAAACCAATAATTGCAAAGAGGATGAGGTAGATGCCTAAGAATGAAAGGTAAAGGGCTTGCCAAGTGTCCACAATCTGCCTTAAAACCTTTTTCAGGCTTGATGTTGAGCTCTACTAAAAAGATCAGATCCTTACTGAAAAACCTAGTTGTGTTTTCTTAGTGAAAGGTTAAAAACAGCAGAGACCAAACAGTACTGAAGTGACAATACTGAAACTGCAAAAACAAGGGGACATACAATTTTTGTAGTTCTAAGCATGTATCAAACTAATTGGCAAGAATGCTTCAAATTTTACATACTGAGAAGAGAAGGCTTGGGGAAAGGAAGGCAAGGGAAACAAATCAGTGATTACCAAATTTTCCAGTCCTTAAAGACTTCAATAAGAAATCCCCAAACAAGTGGCCAGTTCTGCATGTGATCATCATACAACTGTGTTTGGTCAGATGTTTAAAAATCTATTTAAAAACAAGAGGTGCTCTGCCACAGTGCACAAACCAGCCTTTCCAAATTCATTTTCCTCAATGTTGTATTCAAAATGGCATTTGTGTTTTCCAGCTTAAGAAGCCACACTCATTAAAACACCAAATAAGCACATTTCTGCAAAATAGGTCTTTATTGGTTTCTGTACGGTATTTGGAGATTTAACATTCCCTAATATTGCATACTACTCATATGTGTTTTGTTACAGTAACGGGCCTTTGGCCTGGATTTTAAAGATGCACTATTGCTATCTGAAGATAATACAGGTATGTTAAGTTTGTACACATTATATGAAGATCTTGTGCGGTAACTGAAATTTCTCATTCCAGATTTCAGTGAATTCTTGAGGTCACTGTTGAAATTTTATCAGCTGGCAGACCAATGACAAAAATCCTCAGTTGGACAATTTAATAAATTTAAACCAACTGAGAACAAAGGAAAGACAATAGTGCATCCTTTTTTTTTTTTTTTTTTTTTTTAAAGACAGACCTGACAACAGAAACTTTCCATTTGCAAACTTCTCCTACAACTTGTTTCTGGGCCATCATTATTACTATTTTTTGATTGCTGCTAGCAACAGTTTTTAAAGCAAACACTAGAAAATTAAAAAGCTGTATGAATCAGTCCTCAGACAAAAGTGCAACGATGAAAAACTCAGATATGATTCAGTGTGTCAAGAGTAGGGAACTGAAAAATAAATTCTATGTTTTGCATAGATTAACTAGCTGGTATTCACATTTAAGCAAAACAAATGGTGCCCAATACCAAAACTCCCCAAAACTGTATTTTGAAACAGACTTCACAAATGATGGGGCACATCAGTATATCATACAAACACCAAAATGCTTTTTTCAGTTGTTGTTTTTCCCTTCAGTAGTTTCATCTGTTTAGGCAACATTGTCATGCTCACATCTCTACGGACAGATGACTAGACCAGAGCTGACTGTAAGATGTCATCTTTTTATACTGTTCATTAATGTGCTTTTAACCAAACGTGCAAGAAATCCAATGATATAACAGGAAGGACCATTTTTTATGCTTACAAAGATATTTTTTTGAACAACGTCAGAGTAAACCAAGTGTTGAGTTCAAATAACTGTTTCATTAGCTAAAGCCCATCACTTTTATCTCCCTTTTAAACTATTACATTTAAATATATCAGACATGAAATATATTTATCTAAATGCATAAAGTGCAGTTACTAACTGTTCAGACAACATATCCACAAAACTGAAGACATTCTTTCAAAACAAATATAATACTTTGTACGCCCCCTCATTTCATTTTCAAGTCTTCTAATCAAGATTTTTATAGTTCAGATTTGGTTTAAGTTAGAGAGGCTTATAAATGCAGTGTTTGTAAGGTCCTCCAAATAAAAAGCAGGCACAACTGGTTACATAACATTATCAAAACAAGTTTGATAGAAATAATGGAATACCCTGTTACCTGAATTCTTTATTTCTACACTAGAAGAACACTGAAATTCAGTATTTACTAGCAATCCTAGCAGATTTCCATGATCACTACCCTGTACTTTGAGCAGATGGTAAGAAGGAAGGTCAGCATATGCAAACCAAAAACTGTAAGAGTAAAAAGGGCACAAATACAATCATCTAATATTATATGAAAATTTGGCAGCTGTAACTCAGATTATCACACTATTCAAAACCATTGTATGCTGTACAAATCTAGGTTTAAAGTGTCATTTGATAAAATATCTCATTATTCAGAGTTCATAAAGTAACAGCACTCCTATATACACACCTCTTACACGTCTAAATTCCAGTAAAAAGACTTCAAAAAGAGATTTCATTCCTCCCAGTTACATCTTAGTCAAAACTGACCATTCATCTTAAAAAATCCACTTCAAGTCCCACATTCAATTACAGTACAATATATATTGCTGCAACATCAAAGCAAAACATCTTAGAATCCTAACTTGCACATAAAAAAGTCTAAATATAAAATGGTACTGTAAATGATATCACCTTTAGTATGTATTCTTCAGTGCATTAAAATATTGTGCACAGTGCCATGGGATAAGTAATTTCATGTTTAAATTGCAGCTTTTTATGAAGTATGAAATGCTGCCATATGCCAACTCTCTTAACCCAGGAGTTTGAAGATAATACATTAATTACAGGTAAAAAAAGAAATCATACTTTAGTTAATCCAAAGTATTAGTTTATCCAAATGAAACATCTACTAATATTCCAGAGACACTACATATATGCAAGTCCAAGCACAGCACACATTTTTCTGTACTCAAAACTGTTAACGTGAATATTAGAATTCTATTTCTGTTAGTGTTTAAACAGCAAACACTGTGCACTGTAGAGCCTAAATATTTGGAATACAGTAACTTCTAGTTAGTTTTGGTGTCCACAAACTTAGTGTGTATTTACAGTATAACAAATTGTCAATTAGCTGGAAAGGAGTGATTCTCTATTCATTCCTCACTGCAGTATTTTCATTGTCTTACCAGAAGAGAACTGAGTTAGCTAACTTACAGAACAACTCAAGTGGTGGTAGCATATTTGGTCAGAAATGTAACATCTACTTTCTCACAACCTTTAAGAAACTACTGTTACTAGAAAGACCAACACTGCAACGTTTCCCTAACTGAAGTGCTGTTACTACATTTTGGCAGGAGACAGCTGTAAACCATCTGCTTTGTATTTCCAACTGTACAAATGACCATCTCTGTCATCCATGATTGCAGCATTCTTGTGGTAACTACAGCAACCGCTTCCACAGCAAAGTATTGTGGCTGACTTTAAATGCCATTTAGCAGCTTTAATTACAGAGCAAGCACCAAATGACCAGCAAGCTCCCTGCTGATTCCAATTTGAAAACCTCTGAAACAGTCTCTTCCCACATAATTGTGTAAAAGCTTTTTCAGGTACTCAGTATTATATATTGTGAAATTATCATTATATATATGTATTTATGCCTTTAAATACATTTTATAAATAAATTCCAACAGTGTGTGGTAAAGTAAGTAATGTGTGGAAGTTTCATAATTTAAATAAATATTTTTCACATTCCAATTCAGCTTCTAACAAGCTCATCTTTATTTCATGCCTTAGTTCTGAAGCAATGTTCAGTGCTTCAGTACAAGAGGTAGATTTGATAGACTGGGCAAGTCAAGCCTACTGCCAAAAATACAACTGTCAGTAACTGTATTGCTGATCTGGAGTTTGAGACTACAAGAAAAATTCAGAACTACTGCCTAAAATCCTTTTAAGTCTTAGCTTAGCAGTTCCTGTTAAATCACATGTAATGCTTTACTTTAGACATGATTACTCACAGTTGTTTTCTGTACATATGAGAACAAAAAAAAACCCAAACAAGTACAGAACAAAGAACAGTTGTATCTAACAAAATACAAAAGTGCATGAGCTGCTTCTTCATCTATTTCTGCAAAACATACTCAACTTTCCCTCTACCTTTGGCCATAAAGAAAAAACTTCAGGAAAACAAACAAAAACTCTACAAGTGTATACATTTTATACTCGTCTTCACTCGAATAGTTCACAACTGAAACCCGTCCATTGGAGCCTCCTGCTGTTGGAAAACAAACTGCTGCTGACTTTCATCCACCTGAGGTGCAATACTGGAATCCTCTTCTTCAACGCCAAAGTAATGCTCTATGAGTTCAAAAGCCTTTTGGTAGATCTCCTGGTTTTCATGTCTCTGAAGAAATTCAATTTTATCAAGTCCTAAGTTCAAAACAAAACATTCTCATAATCTAGTTTCTTCAGAAGAATTTAAAGGGAAACTGGTTCTAAGTATAAAACCTTTGTGGTGGCACTTAGATGAACTGAGATGGTTTGGGGTTGCATTTCTTTTATTTAACTGATTTTCACATACAGTAGTGTGGTTGTGTTTTTTCTTTTTTCCCCTCCCTCTCTATTCTTTTTGCCTTTTTTTTTTCCCCATGTCAAATGCTCTTAATGGATATATTACTGACTTCTTAACCCATGTATTTCTATGTTTCATTTTCTGCAACACCTTCTGCTGTTCAAACTATTTTTTATACTAAAAGAATATAAATTAATCAAGGGAGGAAGAGCCTATTGTATCTACATAGAATTTGTATACAGAAATCAAGTAAGTGTGCAGTCACGATAGCATAAAACTGCTTGCCACAGCCATTTCCAATACCTTCATTTCTTTTCTTTTACTCTCACAGTCTTCAAAAACACTAAATTCTATCATCGTATCTATCAGCCTACTATCACTTTTTTCAAATTTAGTCTATAATTTGATGATGCTTTGTTTCCAAAGACTTATCACGTGCAAGCTGGAGGAAATAACCTGCTATCAGAGTACCTGGAGGTCAGGTAGATGAAGACTCAGAACTCATTTTTAGCTGTTTAAGATGTTTCAGTTTCAATTTACATCAAATTAGGAAGAGCAAAAAAGAAATTCTTCTGGTTACGATAGAGGCTGGAGAAATAAGTGTGATGCCATCAACTATTTCTCCTACTGAGCTTCAACAGCCTACTCAACTAGCAAATAATTATTGTCTAGGTTCTCTATGTGTAAGTAATCTATGTGTATGTAAATTTAGAACAGACTTTCAACAGGATTCGGACCAGAATAAACTTCATTAAGCTAAGTAAATATTTTTATTCCTCTTATATGTTAGGCTACAAAAAAGGTCCTGCAGGTTGCAGATTTTAGAAATGCACCTCCTCAACAGAGAATTCAGATTTAGTGCCTACTTGGAAGAAAAGTTAGTACTATCTGGTTAGATATAATACAGTCATCCAGAACTGTTATGATCAGTTGCTGAAACACAGACATCTGCCATTTTTATGCTGTCAGAAACTACAAAAAGATAAGCCTCCATAAATAATGCTGAATTCATTACGATAACAAAAACTATGTTTAAATTGTAAGTCAGAAGTATCTAGCCAAGAAATTTCACAAACGTAATTTTAGTTTTGATAGTTTAAACTGCTTTTGAAATGCAGTTTAATTCCAGAAATTAAACAAAATACTTCCACATATAGTCATAAACTTATTATGAATTCTTGCAATTACTGTTATTTAATATGTTAAAAAGTGACTGACTTCAGGAATAAGCAAAACTAACTCTGATCATTCATCTCTATACGGTAATGAAACTGAACAGGACAGAATTATATATTAAAGTAACAAAACTATGCTTTGGGCTTAGGTGATCAATTTATGCCAATACTTAATTTGCAATGATTTAAAGTCTACTTGAATTAAAAATTCTTATGCTACACTCACCAGAATAGTTCACTACATTTTTTACATTTCCCTGGAACAGGTAAATTTAGGTATGTAGCCTTACAATAAGTAAATTCTTACCATATGCTTCCTCTATAAGGGCACAATAAGGATTAATGCCCATTCCGTTTTGCTTAGACTCTTGTTCTCCAAGACGCAGAATATTTTCAAGTCCATTCAAGGCCACCTGTACTATTTTTGAATCCATCACAGT